GCTTTGATGGGAGAGCTGTTTTCAAAATGCTAATGCCCAATTATTGATCTAAGAGAAGCCTGGAATACACTAAAACAAACAAACAAAAACCCATAAATATTTTTATTATAAAAAATTTCAAACATTTACAAAAGTAAAGATAACAATTCAATGAATTCCACGTAACCATTACTCAGTTAAAATATGTTCAATCTTGCTTCATTTAAATCTCCCCCACTTCCCTTCCTACCCTGTCTCACTCTCAAGAATTGGAAAGCAAATCCTGTACAACATATCATACCATCCATAATATTTCAGCATGGCTCTTTAAAAAAGATGGATTTCTTTTTTAAAAAACAAAACCACAATATAATTATCTCACCTAAGAGGTTATGATTCTTGAATACTGTCATGCACAGCTTAACAACAGAAATCTGTTCTGAGAAACACATCATTAGGCAATTTCGTCACTGTGCAAACATCATAGAGTGTATTTACACAAAACTAGATAGTACGGCCTACTACACACCTAGGCTATATGCTAGCCATAGGAGCAACAGGAGCCTATTGTTCCTATGCTACAAAACTGCAGCATTTTACTGTATTAAATACTGTAGGCAACTGTAACACAATGGTAAGTATTTATGTATCTAAACATATTTGAACATAGAAAAGGTACAGTAAAATTATGTTATTATAATCTTGTGGAACCATTGTCATATATCCAATCTGTCACTGACCAAAACATCATTATGTGGTGCATGACTCTCTAACAAATATATAATCAATGTTTTAATTTTCCCAACTTTCTTGTAAATATATATTTCAAATACTTTTAGGGTTTCTATGTTTAAGTCAGGAAGAAATAATTCCATATATTGCAACTCGTTATTTTCCCTAAAATGCTTTGATCTTTACAGGCAATCCCTCTCCTCTTCTCCACACTTTTTCTCTCCCTTTTCTTTCCTTCTTCTGTCCCCCTCCCCTCTACCTGAAATTTATTTATTGAAGAAAACAGGTCACTTTTCCTATGGATTTCCTAGCTGGATTTTGCTGATTATCCCCATGATGTCATTAAACATGTTCTCTTGTCCCCTGTATTTGCTGCAAGTAGGTAGCGAGATCCGGAGCAGGGACTGACAAACTCTCCCTGTAAAGGATCAGACAGTAAGTATTTTTGGCGCTCCAGGCCATATGGTCTCTGTAACTGCTATTCAACTTTGTCTGTAAACAAAAGCAGCCATAGACAGTATTAAGTGAACCTCCATGGTTGTGTTCTAACAACATTTTATTTACAAACACAGGCATCAGAAATGATTGGCCTGAGGGCTGTAATTTGCTGACTTCTAATTTATGAGCTTATTCAGATGTTGATTCAAGCTTTTAGCAAGAATATTTCATAGACAGTGCTGCACACCCTCATCAGGTGGCATATAATGCCTGATTGCCCTTCTCGTGATGTTGACCCCCATTGGTGATCATATCTAGGTGCTATCATTTCAATAGGGACTGCAAAATGGGAATATTCTTTATCCCTTTGGCACTTATTAGCTTGAGTACTTCTATAATAAGAAACTTTCCCTCTCAATGATTTTGTTAACATGGGATATAATTCATAAAGGAAAGGCAGAATAAAAGCTTTCTTCTTTCATATGTAAACAATTTTCAATATATTAAGTTGGTTACTTAGCATCTTCCAAAGGTAACCAATGAGGGATTCTTTTTTTCTTTTTTGGTATTATGAACTCTTGGGTTTAAACCTTATTAAATGCTTTCAATCCACTGTGGTTATTATTCTTACTGATGTTCCAATTATCCCATAGATAGCCAGTGGGAGCCTCTTCAATTTGACTCCTGAGAACTTTTGATATTCCCTCAGTAGTCCTTGATACCATCCTTCCTATGCTATCTGTACGTCCAAATATTCCAGTCTAATCTTGTACAGTTCCTGCTCTAGACCAAAATCAGCTATATCCCCAAGGAGTCATGGGTGGAGGAGCTCATTGCTACTTGATTAGTTTCTAGACTATTTCAATGAAAATATTAGGAAATGTGTATATTTTTAATAGATGAGATTTCTCATGAACCCATATTCATTCATACTGATACTTCCAATTCCAATTTAAACGAATCTCTTCTATCTTGTTTCTGTTTCGCCTTTCCTCCATGCTGAAAATCCTAGTTCCCAAAGATACCTATACGATTAGTTGGTTGCTTTATTCCCCTCGCAATTCTAGCCAAGACTGAGCAGACTGGATTGAAGACCAGCTTAGGTGAGGCATAAATAAAGAGCTTAATTTCTTAGAAAAGGACTTTTGCACTTTTTGAATCTTCTGTATCCTTCTGGGTCTTAGGCTATTAATAAGTAGGCACAATCATCCCATAATGGCTCCTTCAAACTAGGGACACAGGGCCTGTGGATTTCAGAAGTTTCAGTGAGAAAGGTGGAAATCAAGTGCATTTATGGGCTGTCACCACCTACTGCTCCTATGGCCCTGGTATGGGGTGACTGTGTCAGTCAAAGGCTAATTGGCCACTCCTCTATGGTTATACAGGAAACGAAAAATGCATTTATGAACAAAAGTTGTTGCTATCAAAAGATTACACCAGAAAGGGGGTAAAAATGGAGGTCACAAACTCTTCTCATTTAAGTTTAGATGAGGGCAGGAAAGCCACATATATGAATATATTTTATCAGTATACCAATAAAGAATAGAACAACTATGTAAGATATTATACAGAATATATATTAATGTATTATATATCCTATCTCCAATTATTAAACATTAAGTACCTACCACATGCCAGGCACTGTGCAAGACTCTGGGGAATCAAAGATAAATAAGACACACTCACTAACTTTGGGGGAAACAGAAATGTAAGGTAGATAAAAAGCTATTTAAAACACAATAATACCGGTGAAAAAGTGGATTTCACTCATAAAGGTAAGATTAATTCTGGACAGGGAAAATTAAGAAAGGTTTTTTTGTCAGAGCTATTTTTTTTCAGTTTGGTGGCAAAGAATAGGAAGTGTTTTAATATCCCAAGCTGGAGATTTCTTTAGCACACAGGAGGCCTGCCTCTCTGACTAGGAGGATACACCCCCATGAAGTTATTATCCAACTTCATGGGGAGATGGCGCAAGCCTGAAGCTGCCTGTAGAGGAATGGAACCACACCTCTGTTGATCATGAGCTGAGCCTGGGAGCAGAATGTTCTCCTTCCCCAATTTTAAAGCCCTAAAACAATATATAGGGCCTTTCCCTACCTAAAGGTCCATACTGGATGTCCCATAGACCACCATGAGCTTGTAATATCAGAGAAGAGAACCATGGCAGTCTTTATAGGAAAGTATAATCTGCCTCTTAAACAAGTTAATAATAAGGATGAGTCTATTCCTGAGGGTTCTCTCACCCATGCATCCCAAACATCCACTACCACCCCATCAATTCCTGTTTTAATTTTCCCAGACGAGGTGTATCAGAAGGTAAATGCCCTAATGAGAGATGTTGCCACAATATACAGGAAGGAAGACAAGGAGTGGGTGGGGGAATTTAACAAACAAACAAACAAAATCTTCTCTATGAGGAGAGGAAAGAAAGTGAGGAAGAGATGCAAAACCAAAAACATAAGTAATAAAAGAGAAAATAAAAGAGAAGCACTGACGGAAAATCACTCAGTGGGAGTTGAAGCCACCTTTATGTCTCAGACGGTTTGCAGCAGATGCTTTCATCTCATAAAACTAGGATTTCTGTTAAAATAAGTCTATGCACAAACCAGATTATTCTGACCTTAATAAGAATAAAAAATAAGAATAAGGGTTATATGACCTTAATAAGAATAAAAAACCAAGCAACATGTTATCTTTTCATGGGAGATTTAAGCTTTTGTCTTCTAAAAATGTATTTATTATGATACAATATAGAAATATCATAAGATAAATATCTGAAGCCTCTTCTACGGCTTTGATCTCCGTTAGCTTTGTTTCTTGGCCCTATTTGCCAACACAACCCAGGAAAGAAAACTTGCTTTCTAATCTCTGATGGAGCAGGGTTTATGTTTTGTTTACCTGCAGCTGTGTCTTTCTCCCCCATCTGTTTTTGGTGTATGTGCAGATACCAGTGATGTGAGACAACAAAGCTAAAGCATGTTGTTTGCATTTCTTATCAAAGAGCCTATCATATTTTCTAAATAATGAGTAAGTTTATGCTTAAGCTTTGATGCATTAAGGGAAAGTGAAACCTTAAAGGAAAAGTTCACCGGCAGCATGACTATGCTAACCATTTAAAAATATGATGAAACTCTTTAAAAAACATGAAATTGGAGTGGTACTGATTGTCTTCACGTAGGTGGGCCTGAATTGCTTGTACCTTGGGCCTTTCAGGGGAGCTTATGGCCACTTCCAGGGGCTGCACTGAAAGGGCTACCAACTAGGACAAAGGGATTTTCCAATATCAAGTTTTGTTAACCAGAGGTAAACTATTTTCTTTCTGCCCAGTTGATTTAGTCTTTTTGTAGTTTAGTTTCTATATGTATGGATAGAAATGTCTGCTAGTATCTAAGGTCTAGAAGATTGTAGAATATCTAAGATGGGAAAGAACCTTAGAAATAGTTCAGTCAGCTTTCATAGATAATAAAAATCAATGGACCCAGATGGTTAAATGACTTTTTCAGAGTGACATATCTCAATGTTGGAACTTATTGAAGATTATTCTAATCAAATATCAGAATGTAATCCTCTAGAAGAGGCTAAAATATACACATTTCAAATTAAATATTACTTTTTGTTAGGAACACATACAAAAATACTGAAAAAGTATTTTTATTTATTATCAAAAAATAAGGGCCACAGAAATAGTGAAAATCAGAAGCAAAGACATATCCTCAATTTAGTATCCAAAGCAACAATAAGAAACTTTAATAGAGGATAGAGCTTAAAGTACGAAGTAAAGGAGGTATAAAATGTACCTCTTATGATGTGGTTTTTTCAGCAAAAGAATTCCTATATATACAATACCATACCTTTTTAATTTCAGATTTCAAACGACAAGGGTTACTCTGCTGGCTGAAGAGGGATTTCTTGAATCTCTCTATAACCCTTCTTTTCAAATTGTGGTGCAAAGCTGGAGGGAGCTGCATAAAATAAGAAAACAATCATTATAAACAAATTGTTAACACTACACAGCTGACTGAAAAAGCATTCACTGAGGGCCCATGTAACAATATTCATTCAATAGGACTACATAAGAATTTAAATTTTACAGCAAATAGCGTGACTAGATGCTATAATTTCTTACCCTGCAATTCAGAAGGAATATATTATTTTGCTCTTTTTCAAATGGCTGCTTCCATTTATCTTATTGTTTCTTCACTGATTGATATTATTGTTCATATAACAAATTATTTGTTAATTGCACACGTATATTGAATTTTGTGAAGAACAGCCTTGACACAGAATGATGCACTTTTATCAGATGTTTAGGTGCTTATAATATGGCCAGAACCATGCCACACACTGTAGCCGTGGTACTACAGGATCTGACACTTTGGACCAGGAAACACACATCTGCATCAGTAGTATATACAGTCAGATGCCTGTCTGGGAGTGCTCCTGAAAATTCAGCTGCAGAGAGCTCAGATTTAGGTACCAATCATTCCAGAAGAAAGAGAGGATAGATTAGTATATATTAAGACCAGACCAAGATGAGTTACATTTAGTAAGTGAGTAGTAGAAAGTCATGGTAGGACCCTAGAAAACATGGTAACCAAAAAAATGGGGATTAAAAAAATGATTTGTCATGCTTTGTAGGTTGGATCTCTATAAGAAAATCAGAAGTCCTGGAAAGCACAGAAAGATGAAGTGACATTCAGAAGAAGGATAATAGAAAAGAAATTGGGTCAGGATTAAAAGGGTCTCAGAGTGGAAATAATATTTGGTTTTATTTAAATTATGGAGAGCACTTGAAGGGAGAGAAAGAGGAACCAGTCAGAATAAAGATGGCTAAGTGGAAAGGAAAATGTGATAGTAAGAGATCTCAGTATTAAACAAGAATAGAATTCAAAGCTCAGATCAAAAGAAAGAAGAATGTATCAGAAATAATTATTAGCTTTTCTAGGTTCCCTTACAGGTTTAGTTGGTACCATGTGACTACTTTTGGCCAATAAAAATGATGTGTGTCACTCTGAGGATAAGGCAATTCAAAGTCAGTATGTTTTCTCCACCTCTGTCCTCCCTATGGCAAGGAGCTTGGCATTACCATCCTATTCTGACCACGCAGCCACAAGAAGGAACAGGGCCACCTGAACAGCCCAACTGGAACTGAGTAAGAAATAAACCTCTATTGTGTCAAGTCAAGGAATTTCAGGGTGTAACTGTTCTTGCAGCTTAACTTACCTTATCCTATTTACTCAAGTTTTGTGAGACAGGAGGACATATAAAAGATAATGGCAGAGCAAAGAATAGGGCCTACAGGGAGAGGCTCACAACACTGATTGCACGACCAAATAGAAACTTTTCAACATCCCAAACACAGTAGAATGTAGGGCCCATGAGGAAGTACTGTAATTATGTAAAACAGGAAAATAATTCAGTTGAAAATGTTTTAAAAATATTTCTTTGGCCGGGTGCAGTGGCTCACGCCTGTAATCCCAGCACTTTGGGAGGCCGAGGCAGGCTGATCACCTGATATAAGGAGTTCGAGACTAGCCTGACCAACATGGAGAAACCCCATCTCTATTAAAAATACAAAATTAGCCAGGCATGGTGGTGCACGCCTGTAATCCCAGCTACTCGGCAGGCTGAGGCAGGAGAGTCGCTTGAACCCGGGAGGCGGGGGTTGTGATGAGCCAAGATCATGCCATTGCACTCCAGCCTGGGCAATGAGAGAGAAATTCCATCTCAAAAAACAAAAAATGTATCTTTGATCCTAATGTTTGAGTCCAAATAAGTTTAATTAGTGAAGAAATAAGACTCTTCTGGAGATACTGAAGCACTTCAGTGTACTTTGAAATGTTTTGTAGGTTGGCAGCACTGACCTCTTTTCATGTCAATATTATAGCTTCCTTTTGCCTTAATCCAGATGGGATCCCTCCCTCTACTCCCAGCAAATAGTCATAATTGTTATTGTCCTTTCACATGAAATGAAAGGAGGAAATTTAAAAAATGTGGTAGAGAGAGAAAGAAGAGAGAGGAAGGAGGGTGCAGGGAGAGAAAGATTTCTCAGCATTAAGGAGCAAATAGAAGAAAGATGAGAAGGAAAATGAGTATAAATGATATATATGTGTGAGAGAGAATCGCAAAAGAGAAATGAATTTAACTTAGAATAGAAACAAACATGAAGGTGAGGAGCATGTGCATGTATGTTCCTAGCAGGAAGATGGGATGGAGTGATGAGGGGACCAGAAAGTACCTGGACAGAGCACAGGTTTAATACCCTTTTGTAATGCACCAAAAGTTGCCACTTCCCCAAACCAAACACCAGAGAGCAGTGTTGGCCCAGAACCCTCTGGTTGCTGCCCAGCTGACTGCAAGGGGCTGTCAAACAGAAAGGCAGCCAGCCTTCCCTGCTATGACTAACTTCTGAAAGTCTGAAACACCAGTGGGATGATAGCTTCCTTCAAAGGGGACTTAACCCACTACTGGAAGCTATGAGTATCAGATGATTAATTCAGGTACTCTGAGAATTTTTGCGATTTATTTAACTTGAGAAGCCTCTAGTTAACTCACGATTGTTTTTATTGTTTTTACTGCTCCTGCTGGCCTGAAGTAAGCCTCAAAAACTCATTTGAGTAAGTTAACATTCAGTCAGCTTAAGCTGCATATATATTAGAAAGTGATTGATCTTACTGGAATAATTATCACAATGGAGAGCAACCCATCTTTAAAGCTTTCATGCAAGAATTTAAAATTTTACACAAAATAATGACTCATGCATAGCTTAATTGCAGGTGATATAAACATAATAATATACAAGGACTATAATACTAAGAATAGAATATTAATATCTATGATTCATTTGAGCCAGACACTATGACTACTCATTTATGTGCAGTCTCACTTTTTTCTTCACAAAAAACTTAAAAAGCAAGTACTATTTTATAGGTGAGGAAGTCAGAGCTTAAAGACATTATGTAACATGCGAGAATACTTTCTGAGCAGTGCCTTCTAGCACAGCCATTATACTAGAACAGATGCCACCACAACTAGCATTACTGTAGGACAGCACTTTATAGTTTAGAAACATTTTCAGCCAGGCACAGTGGTTCATGCCTGTATTCCCAGCACTTTGGGAGGCAAAGGTGGGAGGAACGCTTGAGCCCAGGAGAGTTCAAGACCAGCCTTAAGCAATATGGCAAGATCTATCTCCAATAAAGAAACAAATAAACAAATACTTTTACATACTTTATTTCATTTGAGGCAAATAGTCTCATAAACTCCCCCATCTTACAAATGAAGAAACTGATTCTTAAAAAGCTAATTACTTCCTCAAAGTCACACACCTAAAAGCTTGGGTTTTGTTTGCTTGTTTTTACTGCACTACACAAAGTAACAAAATAATGAAAACCGATCTGCATGTTTTATACTAGGTTTTCTCAAACTTGTATAATACTAATATTGGAATAGAATATATAGATTTATATATGTTGAAGAATATATGGATTCTTTTAAAGAAATTTCTATATTCTCCAGTATCTCCAAGAATACATCAGAAGACTATCCATTGCTCACAGGACTCCATTTGATACTTAAGTTACTATCTAATTCTATTTTTTAAAAAGTTATTTTGACATTACTGCTTAAGAAGATATTTCCCTAAATGCTAAAACAGAATGTTCAAAGACTGTCATTAAACTAAATACACAAAACATAACACTTCTCTTAGAATTTACAAAACCTGAAAATGGGAGTCAATTTAAGAAATACAACTTTGCCCTAAATATCTCATTCTGTTAAATCTTGGTCACCCTTGCCATTAGTACAGGAGATCCAGATGAGCAGGTGTGGGTGGTTCTAGTCTTATCCATCACTACTGCTGAAAAAACATGGAACGTTTCACCAATGACAGTCAGTAGCATAATTTTCATTGGAGGACAACACATTGCTATTCCGAACCACATTTTTTTCCATTGGCAATAACTGTGGTTGTGAAGATGGGCAATCCAAAGGCGCTTCAGATAAATGGCTTGCCTGTTCTCTAGGAGACCAATGTTTTTTTTTTTTTTTTTTTTTTTTTTTTGAGATGGAGTCTCACTTTGTCACCCAGGCTGGAGTGCAGTGGCACCATCTCGGCTCACTGCAAGCTCCGCTTTCCAGGTTCACGCCATTCTCCTGCCTCAGCCTCCCGAGTAGCTGGGACTACAGGCGCCCACTGCCACACTCGGCTAATTTTTTGTATTTTTAGTAGAGATGGGGTTTCACCATGTTAGCCAGGATGGTCTCAATCTCCTGACCTTGTGATCCACCCGCCTCAGCCTCCCAAAGTGCTGGGATCACAGGTGTGAGCCACTGCGCCCAGTCCCAATGTTTATTTTTTAAAAGATGCTATATATCCTGATTTTCAAAGCATCTATTTAACAAAACAATCTAAATATTAAGTATAAAGTTAAATCCAGTGCTTCTTTGGGCTGTGCAGGTATCTCCTAAGCAATAACACATAAAGACTCACACTAAAAGGTAACATATGTACTTTAGTCACCTTATATGCCCAAAGGTAGATTTGGGGTTCCAGCAATAGAAATAAACCACTGATTTCATTCTTAGCTTGCTGGTCTTAAGATTACCATTTCAGTTTTGATAAAAACAGAGGTCAAGTCAGTAAGAAAGCAAGGTAAGGATTTTAATATCCTGCCTTATAAAATAGTTGCTTTTAGATGATTTTCACTGATCTGTTTCCATGGAAACGAGACAGAAAAGGCCACCACCAACCAAAAGTAAGAAGTTTTCCTTGTAAGTTCATCTGCTGGTTGTCAGGAGATATGGTTGTCAGGAGATATGCGGCCCCTCAGTTCAGGGCAGCCACCAAGTATAAGTCTGGGAGAGTTTGACTAGTAAATAAATACATTAAAAAATTGTCTTTTTGTTTGTTTTTCCAATTCATTCTTACTTTCAGTCTTTCTTTGCAATTAGCAGAGTTACAAAACTCATCTTGGTCTTTAACCTGTAGCAAATACACTAGTATAATATTTGCGGGTATTTTTCTTTTTTATTTGAAAGTCATTGACTTTGCCTAGCACTGTAAGTTAAAGTTCCTCAAAGAGGAATCATTCCCGACTATGTGCAACGTCACAAACTTCAGAGTATTCTGGAAATACATTTTAAAAATCACAATAGTTATATTTGAACTTGTAGCAAGGAATGCCATTCTGCCAAAAAATATGAAATCATTTGTTACACTGGCGGTTCAAGAGCATAATAATAAGATATTTATAATAGTTTTATTCTTGCTTTAAACTACTTTGAAATCCAACAAGAAAATGGCAAATATAAAAAAGTTTTTTATTACATAAAAATTAGCAAGACAGGCATGTGAAAATTATATTTAAATTTCAAAGGATATTTCTCTCAATTTAATAGTTAATAGTTAAGAGAACTAAAAAGCTATTTAAAGCTATTTCCATAACACTAAAGTTAAGAATGCTTTTTCCATATTTCTATATCAGTATTTAAATGGACGTGCATCAATATAATCACTTTACTCAATATAGATATGGCAGATTATATTTTGATGTATTAATCAAGCTTCCCCCAATATTTCCCTGTACACCCTCACCCTCTTTTATGTAATTAGTTAGACAATTCTGTCATTGCCTAAGAGAAAGCTTGACAGCAGAAAATAGAAAAGTAATCAGTTTTAGACTACTGCATCTCAAAAAGGCAGCCATCGGGAAACAGAAAAGAGCACCAGAGTTTGGACAAAACTTGACAGATAAGACCCAGGCTTCTCAGCCCCAGGCTTAAAGACTACCCAGGCTAAAGGGAAAGCAATGAGAACTCAGAGGTACGGAGACACCAAAGAAGGCAGTTCCTTGTCTAGCCCCCTAGGTTAAGTGTGCCAGTAAGCAGCCTGTCAGCTTATCCAGGCTGTGATACTGGAACATTTCTCCCTTGCCATCTGGCAGGATGCTAAGCTGTATCAGAAGAGAGCCCTGGAGGGACGCTGGAGGAGGATGGATCTTGTTTCCTGGCTCCAGTGATGCTCCTGCGTTGCCTTGCTGCGGCAGCTCATAGTAAACAGCACAGGTAGGACCTCGAGAGGTTGGTGCTAACCCCCAGTCAGATCCAGTGGTATCAACTCTGCAGGTAGCTCCGCAGAGAATTCCACGGAGCAACATCTAACTCGGGGTGGCCTCCCCTGGTCCCATGGAGGGTGCTACCCAGCACAACACCCTCAAGTGCTGATTCCCAGCAAGTTCCTGGGCATAGTACCTCACTGTGGAGGGCTTGCCCAGGTCCCCCAGAGGGACACTTCGCTTCAAGTTTCTCCAGCATAGCACCTTACTAATTTTTCTGATCTTTGCAGGAAGGTCAGGACTTCGACCCAGCGTGGGAGTGCCCACTTCTATATTCGTTCCTTTCTTGGGTGCTCTGCCTCAGCCCTAGAAGTTGTGACTTCTTGATGTGCTCTTCCTACATTCTTTAGATTTCTCTTCCCCTCCCTAGTAGATAATACTCATCATAGTCAATAATTCTTTATATTAAACCTTCCCTGTTGAAATTATGGTATGGTCTCTGACTAGACCCTCACTGATACAGATACAGGTTTTAGGAATGTCCCAGAAGAGCCCATACAGATAGGATTTGGGAATTGGTTTGATTGTGCTCTTGGAACTGAGTCCAGTGCTGAGTTTTGTTTGTTCCTTTGCTTGTTGCCAATAGGACATGGGATGCTAGTAATCCATGGCATGCAGTTGCATCACAATTAATCAGGTTATCATCCTGATGAAGTGCCAACTGAAGCAGGTGCCTTGGAAGCCCAAATAGCTTCTGTTCTTGACTGGCACACAGTAATGAAGAACACAAGGACTATGGCACAGAATGGATCTTCTGAATGCACTGGAGCACTTACAGAAAGAAAATGACAAGCTTGGGTCCTTTACAGCTCAGTTCAAGTCATGGTCTGAGACATGGAAAGATCCCATGATAGCCCTAAAAGAATCCATTGCTTTGTTCTGCTACGGTGCTGATATGGCTGATAATTGAAACTTAATTGAGCAGCTTACCAAATTACAAGGTCGGATGAAGTCACATGTTATCAAATTTCTCATGTGAAAGTTAGAAAAAAAAGAATTCTAAAACTTGGAATAGAAGTGTCTTGTTGAGACCACCCAAGTAAAACTAACAATCCTGAAACCAAGGTCACTATGAGCAGCCTTCATAGCAATTAAAAATAGCTTTCCTTTCTCGGTCTGAGAAGATGAGCCTTTCTTTGCTTGAAAACCCTATGATAACCTAATGTAGGACAAACGTCTTTAAAAGGGATGTTCATTTCCTCATGAGACCCAACACAATGAGGATCAAATCCAAAACTAGGGTCCTATTTCAATATGATCCAGGGGAATTAGTATAAACTGTGACCCAGTAGGAAATAGGAAAAGAATTACAAGATTTTGCTATTACATTTCAGCAGTAACCCAGAGAACATGTGCAGGAGTGGATTCTAAGAAGGATAGGCCAGGAAGGGTAAAACTTATAGCACTACATCAGGCTGAATTCATTGATATGGGTGCACGTACTAGAGATTCCAGATTTCACATGTTAGTTCATGCAGCTGGAGGTAGTTTAACTGGTTGTTTGACTAAAACTTGTACTTAACCATGGTCTGTGTTTGATGAGGGTAAAATGTCAGAGCATCTCTGGCATGTGGACGGGGGAATTCAAAGGCTCAGAGAGATGGGCTCATTGGGGTACATTTACCATGTGTGACTTGCACACCCACTCCCCAACCATATTCAGCAAGAACATCCAGAAGCCACTCCTTTCACTGAGGCATTGAGAAATACATTGGAGAGGAGGGCACTAGCATCCTTGATAAGCCCTGTGGTTGCTCTCCTTTGGAGGCCAGGTGTGACACCAAACGATACATGATTTCAATGTATCCAGTTAGGGGCCAACTGACAGCACTTGACCACCAAGAGCAAACTGAGAACATCTTTCATAAAGGGAAGCGGGGAGGTACTATTATTTAGAATGCTTAGCCAGCAGAGATCTTTAGTGGTGTTAGTTGACTAGGGTGTTCCTGGAAAAGAAACAGATGGTCTGCCTATTAAAGTATTCCTTGATCAGTTTAACAGAAAAGAATATCTAGGTGTGGTAGACAGAAACTTGCCGTAAGTTGCCATTGCTACAGTGGAGAGTTACAGCCTCTCACACAGTTTCCAGATGCAAGTCAATTCAAAGACTCAAAGCCCCTTGATTAAGTGGAAAGCTGGGACCCCTTGAGGAAGGGCCCTGAAACATTACTACAAGTGCACACTGTAAATCTTCCTCCAAAGGAGAATTGCAGCCATTTACTAGAGTGACTGTTTACTGGGGAAAAGGAAATACACAGGCTTTCAGCGAATACTAGACACTGGTTGCAAATTGACATCAAGATTCCTAGAGTCTTACAATATTACTGTGGTACACCATTTTTAATGATTTTTTTGCTTTGGGATGTTTTGGGTAGGGATGGGGGTTAGTTAAATGGATTATGAGCCCAATGGGCCCAGTTGGTCTGTTTAACTTGTGGTATTTCTCTTCAGTATCTGCATATTTAGTTGGAATTGCCACAACTGGCAGCTGACAGCATGCTCCATTGGTTCTTTGAATCTAGAGCATGACAATGTTTATGTTTTGCTCGTGGATGTATCTCAAGTCCCTAGAATAGCATCTGGCACATAGTAGGCACCTAATAATTATATGTCAAGTGAGTGAATGAATGAATAAACCACAAAAGATATACAATTTTAGACTTCAAAATAATGTTGGCTTTCATGTCTAAAAGTCTTCTGCACTTCTTTGTCTAAAAAATATTTTTTATTAACCATATATAACAGAGCCTTCAAGTTGCTTATTTCTAGACATATTTCTGTCAATAATTAATAGCCATTTTTAGCATTATTTTCTCAGTGCTAGAAGTCACTGAGATTTACAAATAGAAAGTTTTAACAACTCTGGATTTTGTGTGGTTTTGACTTTCACTCTCTGAAAGGTCCTACTTTCAACCTAGCATCCTCAGAATTAATGGATGGGCACAATTTTCCTTTTTCTTTCCTACAGTAAAGCTGCTTACAAGCAAAGAATCCTAACTCTGTCTCCACTTTCACCCCTGCAGAAGGGCCATTTGTGTTGAAGTTTGGTTTTGGTTGGGCACTAACAGTAAGAGAGGATGTTAGGAATCATAGGAAAAATCCTATATATTTGCTCTTTTACCCTACTACCTTCCCAGCTCTGCTGCTAAACTAGTGTCCCCACATGTATGTAGTTGGGGAGGATAAGAACAAGTACTCAACTTAAAGTCCTATAAAATAGTTCTTCAGCAATATTAGCACCAAACTTGCATTTAAGATGAAAAAGAAATAAAAAGCTAGAACACTGACCTGTGTGATATAGATTATTTTGTGCAGCTGAATTAATATCTGCTGAATAGGATCACTGATCTGACGTACTTTCCTCTGGGACACAGCAATTCCTGCTGATGCTGTGGGTGATAAATTTTGTAGTTAGTCAAGTTCTCTTTCAAATGTTATATTAATGAAAAAATTAAGTAAAATTCTAACAATAATTTTAAAGTAAAGACTTCCCCTTATCAGTGAGACAATATGCAGAGACCCTGTAGTACTTCAATATTTTATGACATGGAATAAACAATATCTTCCTTTTACTTCTCAGACTTCTAAGTAACACAATGATATTACCTGTAATAACATCTGAAAGACTGCTTAGCGCTTGGACATTTTGCTGGCATTACAGCAGGCTGCCATCAGGAGTCAGCAGTGCCTTAGATACAGTGGCCACTGAAAAGCCAGGCTTCAGACATGTATAGTTAAGAGGCTATCATGCTTTTAAATTTTAAATTCATTATGCCCTCCATGATATATTTTAAGACTAATTTTATCAAAACTATGAAATCTATACACTGAATAGACATTCTTACAGAGCAAAAAAAGAAAATTTCTTTTAGGTAGAATTAAATAACTTTCAAACCTGTGATTATTACAAATTATAATTTTCACCTAGATTTCTCTCCAAGTCTAAGGGGGGCATATTTATAATCTATCCTGAATTCTCATCATACAGCCACACCACCTTCACAGTTTTCAGACTAATTTGGCGTCAAATTGTATGTGAGCTGCTTTTCCAGCGTCCTCTGTCATAGCCACAAACAGTCTGTTTTTAACCTGAGGACTATACAACTATTTAAAGGAAAGGCTTTTGTCTCCAGATTACCTACAAGGCCACCTCTGCCTCTTTTCACTCACAGAACCACACTGGATAAAACAAAAAGAGACTTCAGATACGTGATGTGTATTGTCTTCCTTCCCTTCTCTTCCTTCTCTTTCTCTTTCCCTTCCTCCCCTTAACCGAGAATGTGCTTTCTGCAATAAAACTTTTCTTGCCAATTTCCTTTAAAAAAAAAAAAAAAGTTGAAAGTTCCAAAGACCCTCTTTTCTTCCCTTCACACATTGAGCCACTATGAAGTTAAACATGAAGATAGTCATTGCTTTAACAGCTAAGCATTTTTAAAAATGCTTCTTTTATAAGCACTTTCTGAGAAAGCTTGCATATTTTACCATAAATATTTTGTTTTCAAGACATTTAAAGAGAACGTTCAATGTAGTCATTTAAAAGAGTCAACTTGTTTTATTATAAGCATATGAAAATGTATAAAGACATAAAATGCAAAAAAGAATAAAATATAAACATTCAAAGAAATACTGCTTTCTTTACAGATATCTTTACTGAGTTAGTTTATAATTTAGCACAAGAAATAATCTAGTTCTAGCTCATCTCCAATTAATACCTTGTTTAAATGTTTGAAATTTAAAGAGTCTATATCCCATGGACACAATGTTTACTCCTTTTAATATCAATTATTTGATTATTAATATGAGGTTTAATAAATACCCTTGGGATAAAAATATAAAGAGGCAAATAGAAAGAGTTAATGTAGCTCTAAAATAGAAAACAGAGAGCTGGATTGTCTGCTCCATCTTGTGGAGATGGTCAAGTGTACACATGCCATATTTTCTACAGTGGTGCTTCTTGGAGAAATAATTCTTAAAATATAACTGTTTGTCTAGACCCAAACCAAATAGTAGACACTGTGTAACATGACCAAGTTGATGTTGCTACAGAAAAATTAACTTTGCATTTTCTGAAAATGGAGAGCTTGGTTTTTTTAAATCATTTTTATACAAACTACTTTATGTTTTTGATTTCTAGATGTAACATTCATAGGTAATGAGCTAAAATCTCACAGCATGGCAGAGAGTTCTTAGGTCTGTGACGACATTTTGAATGGGATATCACATAGGTTTGACTCTACCTTGCCACAAGAATGTGCCCATCTGTGGCCCTAAATACAAAAACAAAGAGTTAGCTAGAATGTCTGCCTTCTGAATTAATCAACTATCCAATTTTTTTAACTTAAAAATTATTTTTCTTGAGACCTTTTGACCACTACCTTCACAATCTCAAAACATCCTTGACTTTTGGAAATACTTTTGATTACTTAGTTATTAAAAAATAAAGTTAAAAATATTTAATTACACATGCCTCTATAAAAACAAGCAAGCAAGCAAACAAAAATGTTAGTATTACAAATGACAAATGAGATTCAAGGCTCCTAGGAGCCACCATCCATCACAGCCACCTCCCCAGAAATAACTTGTGATATCAGAGTGCTGTGTTGACTTCCACTCACTTTTCTATCCATTTACATACATAAATGTATACTTCAAAATGGTACTTTTCAAACCATACTTGAGTCCTGAAGCCAATGTTAATGAGTCATGATCAGCATTTTGAAAACTGATATCAAATGAATTGGAACTAGATTTTAAAATTTCAGAGTACATTGGAAGGGTCCACTCAGTCAAGATGTAAAACGTGTTTTCTATTGATAGTCATTTCCATGCATTTGAAAGCCACTATTATGGAAAATCTACAGTAGTCTGTCCGTTCTCCCTTCCTCCTTTCCTCTCTTTCTCCCTTGCACTCTTCCTCCCTTCTTTCCTCCCTCCTTCCTTCCCTTCCTTTGTAAACAAATGGTGACACATCACATCACATAAACTGTTGTACAATTTGTTTTTTTCACTTTTTTCACAGTCTATCATGGAGATTGTTTATTATCAACATGTGCTGTTCTAGCCCATTCTCTGTACCACTGAAGACCACTATGTGTCCTGGATGCACTGTAGTTTACATAGCCACTTCTGTCTTAGTGGACACTTAGTTTGCTTTCACTTTCTCATGATAATAAGTGATGCTGCAGTGAATATACACCGGCATGCCTCACTGTGCATAAGTACAAGAGTTCTTTTAGGGTAGACACAGTGAAGTAAAATAGCTGGACCCGAGGATACATTGTAACAAATACATTTTTAGGTGGCTGAGTCAATTTACACTCTGATCAGAAAAGAATCCATTTTTCTACACCTCAGTCAACATTATATATTATCAAACTTTTCCGCTGTGCCAATCTGATTGTTTTTTGTATTTATCTAAATGCTAGTGTGGTTGCTGTACTTCTTTGGTAAATTTCTTGCTTGTATCCATAGTTCTTTGTTCTTACTGATTTGTAAATGCTCTTTAGATATTCTGAATACTCATCCTTTTATTGAATTTTTTAAAAATTGAGACAGGGTCTCACTCTGTCACTCAGGCTGGAGTGCAGTGGCATGATCACAGTTCACTGCAGCCTCTGCCTCCTGGGCTCAAGCAGTCCTCCTGCCTCAGCCTCCCAAGTAGCTAGGACCACAGGCATGCACCACCATACTCGGCTTTTATATTCTTAGTAGAGACAGGGTTTTACCACATTGGACAAGCTCGTCTCGAACTAGGGTTTTACCACATTGGATAGGTTCATCTCGAACTCCTGGCCTCAAGTGATCCACCCACCTCGGCCTCCCAAAGTGTATTTTTATTCTTCATTTAAAGGTTATTAACCGCCAAGCATTTGGCAAGTATTAGCCATATCATTTTATCTAGCTTTAAAAACATTCTCTCTCAGTAAATCTTTTAGATTAGCCCACTGAAAATACTATACTTCCTAACTGTTCACCAAAAAAAAAAAGCAGCATATATTTATATTACTAATTTTCTACTGAGAATATTTGTATTAAAACAATTTTTTATTAAAAAGACATCTATGAGGCTGATCACAGTTCATGTGCAATGTCAGTCATACATAATATGCCCATGATCCATGATTAATATCTATGTGGTATTTCCTACTGAAAAATATATACACAATATTTGGTCTCCTTAAAATTTAAATAAAATCAAAGTTTAAAATATTGGGATACTTTGCATTCTTTTATAGTTTTTATTAAAATAGTAAATTTGACTAGTGTTTTAAAACTTAGACGGAAACTACAAAATTTCTTATAAGAGGCAATTTACTTAAAAGCGTCAAAAAGTCATTACATAATTATATTTGCTGGCTTACTCTGTGGCAAGCGTGACACTAAAGAGCTATTTGTTTCCCCTTTGCAGAGTTAGGTCAGAGGACTTGCAAGAAGAGCAGTCCTTCTTTTTTAGCAGGGACTTGGGTGAGACACTGGGAGGTGTTTTACGTATTTAGTCTCCTTTAAATCCACGGAGGGGACTAAATGAGTAAAATACCTCCCAGTGCCTGTAAACTGTCTGCTCCTTTGTTGGTGTAGATTCTATCCCCATTTTACAGATGAGGAGACTGAGTGCGATGGTCTAAATGCTTCTGAACCACCAAAATTCACAGGTTGAAACCCTAATCCCCAAGGCAATGGCATTTGGAGGAAGTGAGCTTGGGAGGTGATTAGGTCATAAGGGCGGAGGCCTCATGAATGGAATCAGCACCATTGTAAAAGAGGCCAGAGGGAGGTGGTCACCCCGTTCTACCATGCAAGGACACAGCCAGAAGGCGCCTCTGGTTACTGCAAATACAAAACAGTATCTCCTTCCCATCCTGAAATATTATTTCTCTTCTTAAAAGGATTGCTACTTTTAACATGATGTTCTACCTATCTCTCTTAACATTTAATTAACTATTTTTGGAAAGCACGTAGATATAATAAGCTGAAGCATTAGGTCTTTACAGCTATTGCTGTGCACTACATTCTCCTTTGGTATCTCATTGCATAATAAAATAGCCAAGTTAGTTGCCCATCTCTGGTGCTTTGACACGTGATTTATACTATATGTCCATTCTATTGAAACTATAATTCACAACATACACTTTGAAGCTGTCAATAACTACAAATGAAACCCAGAAAAGTGGGTTATACTGTATTCTCCCAGTTGACCAAAACATGGTATCAATATATTATTTTTCTGAAATCTCTCAGCTAAGAATCAGGAACTTTTGGACAACTGGAGAAAAAAAAGGTTAAGGAAGGAAATCCATGAAGAAGCAAAAAAAATACTGTTTTCATGAATGGGACGCCAAAACATACATGAGCTTCTCTATATTGGACCAACAATCTTGTCAAACTACAATACAAATTTACTCTCACCTCTTAACTATCATAACAATGAAATAAAGTAACATAATTGTAGTTCAAATCTATAAATGTTCAGCAATCAATCCCTGTGTCCCTAGTTAGATGAAGAATCTTGAACTCATAAGGATTTCATGGAAGGTTCACCCAGACAGCCATGGATGTGGGATAAAGAGCAGATTCGAATGTTACATTTGAGAAGACCAGGAAGAATTAGAAGGCCTTCAATAGCACAGGAAATGTATTGGATGTGAGGGAAGTTGTATGTGAGTGTGGGTTCTTAGGAGAAGGAATAATTCCAGCCAAGGGCGAAGTCAGCTAAGTGACAGCTGCAACTGAAGAACAGCAAAGTGTTCAGTTTAGCTGGTGTGCAGCACAATAAAAAAAAGTACAGTGTGTATACAGCTGAAGAGGTAGCCAGGGACCATACACAATGGTGAGGAGAAATAAGGCTGATTTTATTTCAGGAGAGGTGATCTCACTGGAAGAGGCTCAAACAGTTGAAGTCAGAGGCCTGGCTTGCATTGTCTCTCTGCTAGGTACTAGCAATATGGTTTTCGGAAAGTCACAACATCTTTGAGCCTTAGTTTCTTCATCTGAAATGGGAGCATGGTAAAAATGGGACTAGCACCAAGGGTGCTGAGGTCATACATGTTGTGGGGTAAATCAATCTACAGTGCCCTGTAGCTGTTTCCACGTGGGGAGCATGAGCCAAGGACTGCTGAAACTTGGGACTGAGACACTGGAAATATGATGTTCCATCAGAAGAGGGAGGGAAGTGACAGAGGAGATGGTGCACGGACGATGGATACTTCTCAACACAGACCAGCAGACCATTCTAGAATCAGACAAAAATTGTTCGGAAGGAGCTTGGCAGTCTAGGCCTAGATGCCCCTGCTACCCCAGCCTCCAGTGGAGTTCTCACGGAATGGCAGGAAGCTGAGTCAAAGCATCAGCTCCTTTCACCTCTGGGTGATCAGGCAACAAACTTCCTTTCATTCGAAACTTCAGGAACAAGCTGTTTAAAGGCCAGATGCAAGGCTGCTTTGAAGTCCTTAACTCTTGAATTCCGGCTGAGCCTTTTTCATGTAATGTGTCTTATATTCCTATAATGGGTAATGTCACAGTATATTTAACTAACAATCTACACCAATAAAGGAGCAGACAGTTTACAGGCCTGTAGTGTTAGAGGTTAACCTGCTGAAATTAATATACTGGTATGATTTTACACCCAGTCAAGAACTTGATCACAAAAATGATATCATTTTATTACCCTATAGAAGTTCTACCAGTCTTATGCTTAATTTAGCAATCTTATTTCAGCTTTTTTTACTTGCCTAACTACATAAATCTCTGTTCTTCAAATGCTCTTGAATCAGGCTTTTTGTCTTCCACCTGGTTCTATCATTAATGGGTTGAAAAAACTCAGACACTTGCTAAAGAATAACTTTAAGAATTGTGCTTTTGCACCCCAATATAAAAAATAATAAGTAGTTATATAAACAGAAAAATTTTTAATTGACACACTGTATGAAACATCCCAGATAAATGACTGAATCCATACTGAGCAGAGTCAATTAAGAATGAACAAGTTTCCAGCTATAGTGGAGGGCAGGCAGGTAGCCCAGAGAGAAGAAAGAGGCCTTTTGCTTTCAGGAGAGGGTAGTGCTGTAGCAACCATTATAGAATGGTTTGGACACAGCCTTAGTTATATCATCATTTTTCTTGAAGAAAGGGAATTAACAGAAGCTTAATGACTGGTTCAATGATTAATATTCCCTTATGGTTTAAATGTACTCTGAGATCCTTAAAAAAAAATACTCCCCAGACAGGAGCCAACACATGGATAGAATCTTAGCTACTGGTGCTTACATTT